GGGGGGGGGGGATTATTTAAGTGCATCATCAGGGTATTTAAAGGGAAATTTTCTTTTTGGAATTTTCATTGTGAACATACTACTACTATTTATACTACAAAATGGCATAGAATAGTGCATATACGCAAATTGGGACGCACCTTAAATTTGTTGTTCCATTGCTGAAGTTGTCAGGTGATTTCTATAAAATGCAGATTCTTCTCAGTTCTTTAAAAAATTAAGGCAGTTATCAAAGTTTGATAAAATGGTGTTTAATTTTCCAATAAAAGAGGATACAGTTCACATTTTGTTACATTTAATTATCCCTTAGCAGATTTTGACTCTAATACAAAGTTCCTTACATTTTGTCAAGTTCCTGCGTTACTTGGTATTGCTAACTCCTTGGGTCACACATCCGCGAAAAACTGCCAAAAACGCGGTATTGCGTATGCCAGGCCAGTAGTTAGCGCTGTCACCTTGTTAGTAAACAGTAGCCTACCTGTAGGGAAGTGACGATTAGCTCCTTGTGGGCGGGAGTTCCGTCACTAAAATCACCACACCGACTGTTGCTCTATTCCTCATTCATAGCGATAGCAGATTTAGCTGCATTAGAAAACTCTTGAGCAGCAACAGTACCATATACTCCGCCATTGTTTTGTATGTTTGATCATGCTTGCCTTTAAAATCGACACGTACTGCTCATGTCTACATAACTAACATGTACTATGAACGCGTATGACATCACAGTTTTCAAAGATTCCGGTATTGGGTGTTTACACAGAAACGATAACGGTGGTGTTTTCAAAAACTTGCACTTTGAAACCCATTTTCAAAATTATGCGTCTTCAGTCCCCAAAATGCCATTGATGTGTAAACGAACAGGCAAAACGCATAAAAAGTTTCCCGATTTTGGCTGAAAACGTTGTCGTGTAAACGGCATTATCATAAACCACATAACTGCATTATCATTATCATAAACGGCATAAATCATTCAAACCCTAAGGTTTGCATTCAATAATTTACTGCCATTTGCGCCCTTTATTTACTATGGCATGAACCCATTTTGCATCTGGGTTGTTTGTAGATTACCCACACCTGATCATCAAGTTATGTAGACAAGTTATGTTGTATGTAGTAGGCTAATCATTTTATAAGAGCAACAAGAGACAAAACATAATTTCAAACAAATATCACATCCTTTGGGTCAGCAGAGCTTCACAAGACCCACGTTATATAATCTCACACATCATTTCTCCTGAACTCAAATGTCCTGTCACACACTCACACATTCATTTAGATATCATGATGGAGACTTCATATTGACTTTTACTGTTTTTATATTAAGTTTCAAATTAGGACTTAAAATACAACTAACATGACTTTTTAAACTAAAATACTAATTTACAAATATGATCAAAACATAATTTAATCTGCTTGTAAATGTGTTTTCTTTTTTCTCTCTCTTTTTATCCTCGCATGTAGGTTCTATAAAGTTTTAATAATCCTGCTGTGACATTTAGTTCCCACAAATAAATCAATATCTGATCCCTGTCCCCCCAACATTTACACAGGGCCAATTATACACTCTAAAACAAAATCTGTAAAAATAGGGCACAATATACTGTATAATTTGAAGGAATTTTTCCATATTTATTTTTTACAGGTGTTTTACCGGTATTTTGCATTTTACACTTCATTGCATTGTGTTTTTAATAGAGTTAATGGAAATGTCCGTAAAATTAATGGATAATGTCACGTGTAATGAGCTGCCAGTACTTTTTCTGTTATTTTACGGATTTATTTTTTACAGTGTATTTAGTGCAGACTAATTCTACCCCTAAAAGAAGTGCTCTGCATTTGCATTGCCCCCTTTTGAAAAGACAACCCCAAAATGAGATTTTGCCAGATTTAGCTAAGCTCTGAGGACATTTTGTCCCTAATATATAGCGAACATACAGACACACATCCCTGCAATGAAAGAGAAGGAAGACTAGGAACTTTCAGTCTGCTGTTATCACCCCCAGTCTGAAAAAAAATGAGCAAAGAAAAGATAAAATGTCCTTAAAATGAATGCATGCTAACCTGCAGACATACATGCAGCTGCATCCACTGCTAATGGCCTAAACAGCACAAAAAATCTTAGAGAACACAAAGGAAAAGATTAAAACAAAGCACACAGTGTTATGACAACCACAATAATTTAGTCGTAATCAGTTTCCGTCCCAGCCACATATGTTCCTCTCACCGAGTGTTTTTCCACTGTTTTTCCATTTTTTTCTCCTAGTAGTTCGTTAACTGAGCGTCTGGAGGAATGCGACGGGAATGTGCAGACGGCATCCTGTTTTTTCTTACACTTAGTCAGCTGTTTACTCTCAAAGAGCTGTGTGAGCACAAGGTGCTTTCATCTCTGCTGAAGAAAGAAAGACAGATGAAGGGGGGAAAGTTTGTTTCACTCTAATTGAGGCCTAGTTGCACATAATGGTGTAAAATTCTACATTTACATTTGTGGTCACACTTTATTTAAGGTCCAATTGTCGCCATTAACAAACCATTAATTTGCTGCTTATTAATGGTAAGGAAGTTGTTAAGTTTAGGTATTGGGCAGGATTAGGGATGTAGAATATGGTCATGCAGCATATGTGCTATATAAGTACTAATAAACAGCCAATATGGTGTTAATAGGCATGCTAACAAGTTAATAGGGAGAATTGGTCCCTATACTAAAGTGTTACCAAATAATCAAGATTGAAAACCTCTTACTAAAAACACTCCTATTGTTGCTATTTACACTGAAAAAAAATCGGTGTAGAAGCAATTTTCACTCATGAAATTGCTAGTAAATTTCATAATCAGTTACAAAGAAATAGCAGGTAACATGGAGGTAAATATGATATTTTTACATTTTTGAATTAAGAAAGTATTTTCTTGTAAAACAAAACTCTAATAATATGTATTTACAACTTTAAAAATGTAACAGTTAATTTGAATGTTAAAGGGTTAGTTCACCCCAAAATGAAAATTCTGTCATTAATTAATGAACTATCCCTTCAATTTAGTGCAATTATAAAATTATATTAGAAAATAATATGCAGTAACCCCCCCCCTCTCTGTGTGTGTATATATATATATATATAGCAAAAATATTAACAATTACCATACATTGAAATTTGGTAAAAAGAGATTTTCTTACCATCCAATGATTCAATAATTTGTAATAATAAATGTCATAGTAATTGTGGTTAATTTGATTGATTAATGAGCACATCATGTAGCTGATCTGCTGATAAACTGTAATCAACTGATGGCTCTGTTAGTTACTCTATAGTAACCCATAATAATAATGTAAGGAATTCCAAACATTTTACATAAGCCAAATTCTATAGATTGACCCGCATCATGAGGCTTTCCTCCTGCATTAAGGGACCTCAAATGTTCCTCGGAATTCCAAAACTGCACGTGTTGAGTAAACATTTGGGCAGTTGGAACGGGCTGATAGACAAAGAGACTGCACATCTCAACAAGATAAAATACCATCCCAGACGACTGTCAAACACTGCTTAAAAAAGAAATAACACAAATGCTCTGGCCTCACCTACAGCTAACCTCTCTGCTGACTTTTAAGAAAAGTATGTTGTGCACCTGTTTGGATGCACACGTGGAATTCGCAGTTCTCCGAAGTTCTACATTTATCAAGGGGATCTTAATGTATGAAATATGACGTTGGCTGAGCAATAAAATGACATATGTAAGCAGAAGTCACATAAGACATCTAAATATGTGCATCTGCAAATATTTTTTTGTATGTATATATGTGCATATTCCATAAATTTGCCTGATGTGATTTTGCTGACAATAAAATTGCCATAGTTTATACACACCCCAGAAAATACATAATAGAGCACACAGAACCTTCCTAATCGAAAGTGTATTGCTCATACATTTATAACCTACACAAGTGGATCGGACAAATTATGCATGAAGTCATTGGCCATTATGGGATTGTGTTAGATTTGTTTGTGTGGTAGGTTTGTTAGGGTTAGGGTTAGGGTTAGGTTAAAGTAGGTTTGTAAAGTGTAATGTACTGTTGAGGTGTCGGATTTATTATGTGGAGGAGTTTAATGTTTAACAAGAAGTGCAATGTGATATTTTACACATCTGAACATGATTGATTCAACAGCCATGTAACACAGAAAACTGTTAAAAAGACTTCTTTGTTATTCGGTAGTATATTGTTTATTAACAGATACAATAATGCAAAAATACATTTCATTAAATAAATTAAATAAGTTAACAAACTGACAGCTGGTTGCAAGCAATTCAAGTTTAAACATTCAAGTATCTGGGAGTAACTAATAGTCATTTTCTTCACAAGAGGAAAACAAGAACAGGTACAGCAGAGCTAAATGCATATATGGCAATAGTCAAAACTCTGTATGTATAATTAAAGTAGTCATGAACAGACTGCATTTAATTGAGGCAGTAATGGGAAGTCTACACAGTACTACAGTATTTATATAATGGAGCCGGCAGACAGTAGCAGCCGGGTTTGACTTTAGGAAAACAAGAACAGCATTTTTTTGGCAAGCTTTGAGCTATTGAGACCTGCTGGTATCCGAACAATAAAAACAGTCCACTGAACGTATGCAATAAATACTTCCGCCTTCACTGAAGGGAAAATGAGGAAAAATGGAATAAAACAAGAGAACAGATAAACATTCCTTTTTTTTTAAACAGTTGGACGCTTTCTCGAGCAGTTGATCACAGAAAGCATCAGACACGTTCATTTCCAAATAAAATCAAAAATAAATACATAAATAAATAAATAATCAAATGAAGAGAAACCCTAATAAATAAAGGGTAATAAAATGTTTTAATATTCAGTGTCAGGAATAGAGATTATACAGTATCAGGCAGGGGTAAAGGGGTTTCATTTTTAATTGTCTTTCATTTTTCCCCACCATAGCTTCGAAGATGACAAACTTAAATGTTGTTTGCAGTACTTCTGCTGTTTTTAACTCACTCGTTTGGAAATGTCACCATTTCACTGGTGCAGAAGGTGATCTGTTCTTCTTTTCACCACCTAAATCATCGTTTACTAGGACCGTTCTGCTCCTGTTCAGCTGAAGTACCTGAGGGTTTGTGCCTCGGCAGTCTTGAATTCAGTCAATCCATCCTCCTCTCATGAGGCAGATCCTCTTCATCTGGTACTTTGCTCAGGCGCTCCATCAGACGACCGTCACCTCATCTCTCTCTAACTGATCGAGAGATTCCTGAGTCTGGATTTCTTCTTGGTTGAAGCCGATCGTGAGGCTGTCACAAAGTTGTATTTACTCGCCTTCCTGCAAATGAAAATAACATGAAGTTTAGCCCCAAAGCAGGGTATTTTATGTTCACTGAAGCAAAAGCATGTGCTGAATGTGCTTATGTTGACAGAAAATGATTTACCTGAGAGATGACAGTAAATAATCGCTAGTTTTGCCAAGATGATTTGACCGGTCATCAAACTGGGTCACGATCTCCATATCTGGATTTTCTGAACTGCAAATAAAATTTGAGAATAAGGTTACATACTGAATTCACTAGTTGCAAATTTGGTCATTCACATGTGTCCAAACTTAGACTGGATTGTATTTGTATACAATCTACTTTATTTAGTGACTTGCTCTTGTGAAACCAGATGTCTCTCACACATAAATACAAGGGCTAATGCCATCCCTGAACAACCACAGGAATCTTCAGATACTATTAAACTTGTCCAAAAATAGCTGTCCTTTGATTTGGTGACTCATAACTGCTTCAGTCATTAGACGGTTTCTCATTCACTCCCTTATTTGCCTTCATCTCAGAGAAGAGCTTGCTGAAACCCCCCCCCCACACACACACACAAGCTGCCCTGATCTCCGCAGGTCACACATGGCTGCCGATACGGCATCCGTGACAGATGAAAGGACACGTATCTGTCTGATTTCATCTTCAGGGTGGAGCTGGAGGCTGCAGAGTCTGGGCTCACCTGCTGCGACAGAAACTGGAGCAGGTCCGGTCGGCGGGATTGGCGCATTCACAGCGGCCCGTGGAGCGCCGGCGACGGGACAGAGGGCTTCCCAGACCGAAAGGAGCGATCTTACTGTAGTGAGACGAGAGGGAGAGGGTTAACAGAGCGCTGTGAGCGAACACATGCAAACAAGGAGTCCTATTTTGGGGGTCTACAGGTGATTACAATGACATATTATGGATTCTACTCCCTACATTCACCCTTTGTCATAGTAGACGTACTCACTTCGGTGTGTTGACCCAGATGATGTCCAAATGGCAGAAATAGATGCACTCGTTGTCTGACCAGCTGCTACAGGAGCAGCGTTTGGTACGGACCCGTTTGAGAGCAGGTGGATTGCTTGATGCTTCGGACTGATCGGATAGTGGATATCCAAACCCTAGAAAACACAGACACTATGATTAAAGCTATTCCCCAAATGTTTATTTGGCAACCTAAGATGTACTTCGTGTAGTAACATCCAAATTTACTGACTCTATTGAAGTTTTATATGACTAAATCAACCTGTATACATTAGGTTACACCACCAAAAGTACTTTTTACTGATAACGGCACAAATTCTGGTATTATTCCATATTATACGTTTCTGAGATTTCTTTCTGCTTAATCTGATCAATACACAAATATACAGTACTCTATATAGATATGACACTCAGTAATAACTGCTGAGCTTATCTGTAAAGATAACAAGGCATAATGATTTTCTTTGTGTGTGTGAAGTTTTGGCTGATAGCCACCAGTGAAGTTCAGGAGAATATAGAGTCTTATAGGACAATATGAGTATTATATGCAGACTGATTATTAAAAAATATGAGAAGCAAAATTTCCATTTGGGCTCAATAAAATTGTGTCAAACCACAGAAAACACACGTGCTGTGGAAAGGTATAAAAGGTAAAAGTGTCTTACCTTGCTGCAGCACACAGAGTGTCACTGAGATGAAGACAGCAGTCCACAGTGAGCAAGCCATTATCGGGAGTTTAACACGTCTGTTAAATCCAGTTAAGTGATGATATACAGTTAGTATCTGCAGTCCACAGAGAGACTGACAGGTGCTTCTGTTCAACTCAACCTGCCCGCCTTCATTTATCCTCCCTGAAGCTCCGCCCACTGGCTGTTACACAACACTGAGTCCAGGAATTCCTGCCTCCTGATTGGCTGCAGGCTTGAATGAGGTGGAGGGGAGAATGAAAGACAGCCGCTGATGTCAGTGACTCCCCCTGGACGAGTCAGTGTCACAGAAACAGGGAACGTTTATTTCCGCAGGGGAGGCCGTGTGCTGTCATCGTCACTGGAGATAGTGTTTAATGGCATGTTTTGCATGTGTCCCGGGATAGACTGCACATCAGTGCAGAAACCCCCCTCCGGAGGAAAAAGCAGGACTGATAGTGCATGTGCAGGATATCCAGTCAAGTCCAGGAACACAGATTGTGGATACGGAGTGGGTGCTGCCATGATTTAGTATTAATATCAAGCTGAAAAACATGCCAATGCAACATTTCACAGTAAAAGCGCACACCAATCTAATAGATATTTTGTTCAATGTAATCTCTATATACAGTAAGATATATAGTATCTTATATTAACTACTACTACTTTAGCCTCAGTAAACTCCCCCTGATATGGTCATGCAGAACAGGGCATTAATAGGTGCTTTATAATACTAATAAACAGCTAGTAATATGCATGATAATAAGCACAGTTAGTTAACAGTAAGAACTTGTCCCTAAACTAAAGTCTTACCATATCAGATGAGATCAGTGTCTGAGCAATAATATCTTCCTTCTCAATATTGTTTTAACATATATAATGCGTCTCAACTGACATTTTTCTTAATCATAGGCATGAAAGCTACCCTATGTATTTTACCAATGAGATAACATCCACAAAATATGCAAATTACACAAGATAATGGCAGCATCACTTGTCTGTCATTAATCATATCAGCACACCCGTTAACAAATGTCACTGATTCAAATATGCAAAATATTGTAAACTAGAGGAAGACATTTTATTACATGCTGGAAATGTGTGCTGGAATAACAACAGGTGGAAGATCCTCTCACAACTAGTGTGTGCTCTTAATATCCATTTTTTCCTTATTATAACTCTATAAAATAAATAAGCGTGCAGTGATAATGACAGATAGGACCTGATCATTATTCAAACAGAACGTGTATATAATATATATACATATATATTACTGTTAACTTTATTTATTTGTATGCATGCTTATTTTTTATTTATGATAAATAAAAGGCATGGATATGCCTTGAAAATATAAAACCAAGCAAAACATGAAACTGCATATGCTTTTTAGGCTAGTTTAATGATTTGATATGTTTAAAAACACCATGAATAATACCCACAAGGAATAAAACCGAATTTATGATATTTATACAGCGACTGTTCCACCCGCGATGAACTGGAAAAATATGAAACATTCAAAAGTCACTGCAGGGGGGCAGGAAATGCTAGAGTGATGTCACAGTCCAGCAAACAATGGCACCTCGCAGATTATTTGTCCTGCTGAGGTCAAAAACATAAAACAATAACTAAAGCAAATGTTTGTTAAGTCTTACATCATGGACAGCTGATAAAAAAGTGGCAGTTTTTCAGATAAATCGAGATTTTTGAGGATTATGACCCACCTTGTGTGATTGCATCATATTTGTTTTCAAAGCAAATGTATGTCATGCATGTCAGATTTATGAACTAAGAGCCAATAAGAATGAGATTAATTATGCTGTATGACATTTATAAAGCGATTTATCCTGAGACATATTGTTGTGCTTCATAATAAGTTAATGATTGCTCTGGTCACCGTACTCCGCCGCAGACTCGCTCTCTGTTTTTCTGGCTCAGTCACAATCTAACAATGTGGCCTTATCCATTTCCTCTTCCACTCAGCGCGGTGGCTCGCTGGAGGAATGTGACAAACACAAAAACTACTGAAAGCGCCTGTGGAATTCCTCAGGAAGCTCTCAGGAATGTGCTGCTCCACTGCACTTTGGACACCTTACGTGCTCCTTTAGACTTTCCTGACCAAAACTGGTCACTGAGAGAGAGAGAGAGAGAACAACAAAGATGACATGCAACATTCGTTTAACGATGCTGCAGGAATAATGATCTCATTGTTGAAACTCAGCTTTGGAATTGAGACGCATGATATTCCACATAGACCCATATTAAGACAAGGCATAACAGCGACATGTATGACAATACACAATCGTAGGAAGATAGTTTTCTTTCATGCAGTGAAAGTGATTGGGGCCAAATGGAGTTCTTTTGGACCCCACTGACTTTCACTGAATGGACCATAAGACAATTGTTTTTTATTTTCATTTTTGTTCCACATAAGAAAAAAAAGTCAGGTTTGGAACAATGTGAGGGTGAATTATTTTCATTTTGAGACTTTTTATTTCTGTCCTTTGTGAAAAAGAAGGGCACATGAATAAGCAATTGTAGCGTGCTTCAAATCCAAAAAGTATAACTGTACTTGCAGATAATATTAGTGAAATAAAAGGCCACTGAAGTGAACTTAAAGCATGTACACGTTCATGCTTCTTAACACACTTTTAAAAAGTGCACTTTGTAATGTCAAAATAAAAGTTGAATCAAAGTGCTTTTCAAATCATTGGTTTAAAACTCTTTTGCTGTGCACTTATTTTGACGTGTTGACTAACATTCTAAAACACATGCAGTTTGATTTTCATTTTGAAACTGTAGTGTTATTCAATATTATTTTAAAATAAAACATTGTGTATGCACTAAATGAGCTAAACTGCCACTTCGCCGTTATAAATGTGCTTACAAATATATTTAAATATTTAAAAGTTCCAATAGAATACTCAATATATATCAAGTTTCAATAGAAATTACATTAAAGTATATTTTAGTTTACTATAAGTGCATTCAGCAGTAACTTTAACCATATATCAAAGACAACTGAAGTAATTATGAAATTATAAAGATGCACTCAAGTCTCAGCTAACTGCATTTACTGTAATCTAAGGTTAAACGGTACATTTCCATTTAAATGCAGTTAACATTAACACAGTGTTTAACAACATTACAGTTCACACTTAAGTATATTCTTTTGAAGTGTATTATTTCCTTCTTTTTCACAAGGGATTCCTCTACGCTCTCTCTTTTATTTTGTGAATAAAATATGAGTGATATAATTTGCTGATGTGTTGTATGTGGTTGCTAATGCAGTAGGTGGTGGTTTGGGTGTAACAGTGCAGGACGTGTGTAGTTTTGGTCAAATCACTAACCCTCCTTATGTGAGTAATATCTTATCTGATGAATATACTGCATTCTGCTGTCAAACATGACACTGCTCAAGGTGTTTTGGAACAGGTGGGCACACCCTTAAAATTGCAAAATGCATCCTTATCACAGGCTACCTGCAGCTAGAATGGCTTTCTTAATGGCTTATTTTTATGCCCCCTGTAACAGAGGTGTTTGAGGAATTCCAAACAATGAAAAATGCATTCACTTTCTTGGAATGTTGCAAGAGATGATTCAGTTTTTGGCAAATGTTTAAGGGTAATGACGGTAGATGATAGTGCAGACAAACACACACACACACACACACACAGTCCAGTTCCGTTTCCTGTGCATTCCTCTGGTGTGAGCTATGACCTTCATCACAGTTAAGAACGTAAACAGCATTTGACGATCTAAGGTCTGGAATTCAGGCTTCATGGGGGTTTTACTGATAAACCCTCACTTGTCTTATTAAAACACCTGCATATTGTAAATAAACATTAGTAAACCTATGCCAATACTGACACCAAGCCAGACCTGTAACAGTGTTGCTGTGGATACCGGCGGTTCACTTTTTATATTTTTTATATATTTTTTTATTTTATTTTATAATATTTTATTTTATTATTTTGTTTTATTTCATTTTATTATTTTATTTTATTATTTTGAATGAATTAGAGAAAGTAAAGAATGTAAAAAAGCTTATGTCAGTCAGTAGATATACAACCCAAAAAGGTGTATTTTTTGTTGTTCTTCTAAATAATAATGAATGTCATTAAAATGATCAACGTTCAATTATAAGTGCTCTTAAATGTGCATACATTTTTATGACAGAATAGTTGCACAACCATAAAAACAAAAAATGGTGGAATGTAGGCCAATATATTTACATTATATAGCCTGTTTAATGCGTGCACACATAACATATTTATCCGGCCATCGCAGTGAGGACATTGCATAGACTTTCATTGATTTTCCATAAGGTTTATGATATTTCCTATAACCCAACCCCTACTTACCCATCACAGAAGCATGTGCAGAACACTAGATTTACATCTAAATATTTTGAAAACTATTGAGGACCAGTAAACTGTCCTGACTAGTGGGTTGTCAAAGTATTTCAGAATATAAGTGAGAAATAATTAAAGGACGTTATTTAGCGCTATGATCACGCGCCAGCAGGGGGCAATATTTCCTCTGAACCTATTCCTAAAATCATACACTAACAGCGTCTTCAAGTGGAGTCAAAAATAACAAGTACGAGGTTAAGTGCACAGTTTTGCTGGTTAGCATGACCCTGTTAGCCTCTGCTGGAAGATAATGATGTTTAACAAGAATAGATGTCTTATCCTTTAAACACCAAACTAGCCATTCACTGGCTGAGACGGCTACTCTTGGTCTGAAATGATAGAAAATCACTGTATAGTCTTAATCATAAAAATGTTAATTAATGTATTTTAAATTGCATATAACATTACCAAAGCTAAAAATGGTCCAATTAAACAGTTGCATGTTTACATTTGTAAACAAGAATGCTATTAAAATGCTATTAACAGCGTTAATTAATAGAAACATGGAGATGCTAATCCATGAATTAACAATATATTTGCATATAGTCTGAGATATAAATATGACAGAACACAGGAACATTTTGTGCATAGTTTATCGAATTAAATAAACATAGGTAGAGCAACAACAGACTCTTGAAACTATCTTTTAATGTAAATTCATGTTACTCTTACATTTCTGATAATACTTTGTC